CACCTTAGCCACATGTTTTTTTTGTGTCCTGAGTTACAACGTTTCTGGACAGGGTATTTTGCTATTATGTCAACTGTTCTTGGGGTAACTCTTCATCCTTGTCCTCTGATTGTGGTATTCGGGATTCCTGACCGCTCACTTATACTGGACTCCACACAAAAGGATATCATTGCCTTCACATCCTTATTAGCGAGACGTTTGATATTGTTACATTGGAAGTCTGCTAAGTGTCCTACTGTTTCCCAGTGGCTTAAAGATGTCATGTTTTTTTTAAAACTTGAAAAAATTAAATATACGCTGAGAGGGTGCACGGCCAGTTTTTTTCATAAGTGGCAACCCTTTATCTCTTATTTTACTAGTTTAGAGGTATTACCTGTTTAATTGTACTTCTGTTATTGTTATATTCCGGTAATATGTTTGACGGTTGTGTTGATCTGCGTGGGACGGGGGGGGGGGGGCTTTATTTTTTTTTTTTTTTTTTTTGGTATGGTTTTTTTGTCTAATTGTCTTGTCCCCCCCTTTTTTTTGTTGTTGTTCTGTCTGATTGTTGTTATTTACCTAGAAAAAATGAAGAATGGTTAATTGTATTTTGGTAATTGCAAGTACTGTTGTTTTCTTCTTTCAATAAAAATATAATAAAAAAAAATAATTGTGCTTCTTAGCCGACAAACTGAGCTAAAACACGTTGTTTTACGAGTATTATTCTCATGTCATGTTGTGTTTTCATATATTTATATTTTAGAGCCTTACTTGTCTGTGAAAAGTTCATCAACTCTGCATCAACCGAGGTATTCCTTAAATTTTAAGCGAATAAGCGGTAGTCTAACTCTATTGGTTAGCTCTGGTCGGCGCTCAGTTTCCTACTGAATGGAGCTCTGCGGTGCAGGGGGCATGCTTAGCAAAAAATAAAATAAAATAAAAAAAGACGTATTGCTTATATTTAATCGCAGTACATGATGAGATAATCACTGTTACGGATGTCAGAAAAATCATGCATCATTTGTGAAAGGGTAAAACTCCGGAAAGCAGCTTTAATTAGCCTCTGGTGCATTAATGAGCAGGATTCTCTTTAGTCATAGACATGTTATCCTTCATTGGTATAGGATCATGAGGAAGAAATTCAGATTGCTTAGAATAATAGCTTTGAGAAATGAAAAGGTTTAGAATTATGTAACATGTGTGTTTATATCTCATAAATAAATAAAACTTTAAAATCTTTAATATGTTTAAAATATATTTTAGAAATCTGAGGTCACTGTTATCAGTTGACCTCAGTGTGAGTTTTTTCCTTTCGTTTAATACATAATGTTGTGCAAAAGAGTAAAAAACGTACTTTTTAGTCATTCAGAAAGCGGATGTGCGTTAAATTGAACGCTAGACATAGTTTATAGTGAAGATGATACTTTCCCAAACAGACAAGGAGACGACGAGCTACATTCTTCTAGATGAACATAAAAATGGAGATTTTCTGACTCCATCTTGATTATTATTCCGCTCCATCCCTCTCAGGGGTGATTCTACAAACTTTCTGTTCGACTCCTCGAGGCGTTTGCTGTGCTTCTCACCGCAGCCACACATTTTTTTGTTGCTTTCACCAAGAAATGAAAACATGTTTCCTGTGTAAGGAGGATAATAAGTATTCTGCCAGAGTGTTACATATTTCTCTCGTTGAATACATTGATTGAACAAGTTTGCACTTGTGCCTGATGCAAACATCTGCCCTCCAACACAGATTTGTCAGGGTGATGTGGCAGCTGGAGCTGCGGAGGTGGATTTATCTACTTTAGATGTCAGAGACTGACTGCTGAATGTCGTGGAGCTGGAAGCTCAACAATAACACGCCATTCTTTTCTTCCCAACAGATTTTTCAAAACCTGCAGTGTGATATTTAGTCATTGGAACAAAATTGATTATGACAGCCAGCCACACATGCAAGTGCCTTCATAACAAATGATAATGGAGTTCCACCATTTTATAAATGTCTTTGATGTTCTAGTATCATTCAAAGTCAGTTATTAAGTAATTTACAGTCATAAAGTTATTTTAAGTTTAATTTCACTTTTATTAATCAGGAAAAATGGTGGTTACAAAGTTTGTTTTCTTTACAGAGTCATTTTTTTTATTTTGTTATATTTAATGGTAGCTCTAGCAACACAGTGGCCATCTTTGAGATACGCACTAACTTTGTGCATCGGAGGTGGTTTTGTTTAACCCTTTTTTGGGCAAGAGGCTGTTATTTGGACATGCTTTAATTCTAACCATCCTAACAGTTTTATATGACTGAAATGAGTCAAAAATGTAAAAAGGAGTCAATAATTTTTTTAATATTTAAAATGTGGAAAAAGCAACAAAATCCATTAAATTAAAAGTTATTTTAATAACAACCAATTAAACAATTAGCTTTTGGGGGGATTTCTGTGATGAGTGTAGACAAGCCATCCTATACTTGTAAATATTTAGTCTGGCCACGACCCATAGAAAGAACTTTGGGCAAATCTATGGTTGTCTTTCAATCCATCTATGCACAAAAAGGAACAGCAACAGAAACTAACAAGATGACTTATTCATCGCTATCAGTTAATGAGGCATTCTGCCATGCACCCAAAAAGTTAAAGAAGAAGCAAATCTATCATTTTTAAACATAAAATAAGGACTTAAATACCTCAATCTGCTCTTGTGTCAAAGAAAGCCCAAGTCTAAATAGTACAAAGTTTTTTAACAAATGCTATTTCTGCGTCAACGCCATCTTTGTAGTTTTGCTCTGTCACATTTTTGGTGCTTAATCTACCCAACAAATGTAGAGTGATGTCACTAAATAAAAGAGTCAAAACTGGGACTGATTTTCATTTTTTGGTGAGGACAAATATTTCATTCGTTTACAGGAAAGGGGTGGGACTTGATACTTATACTGCAGCGAGCCCCTAGGGGGCATTTTGGGGTTCTTTAGGCTCCAATATCTGTGTCACAATCCTCTGTAAATTGTTAAATATTCATGGTTGGAGCACATAAATGCAGACCAAAACAAGGTGTGGGCCATTCTACATTCTAAGAAATAAAATGTTGAATTTACTCAACCAAATTATGTCGATTGGTTCCTCTAAACCTAGTTGTTAAAATGTAAAGAGGTTTACATGTTTTTATATGTTGGTGTGTTGACAGTCAGTGTACAGTATAATACTCAACATTATAAGGCAGTTAGGTTTGGTGAAACTAGCTGACATGACTTGGTTAGGTTAATTCAAGATTTAATGTTTTGGAGCATAAATAAAATAATTTGTGCTGATGTTTTCACACCAATTAGACCTTTTTGTTCACATACTCATGTTACCAAATTGTTTGAGGGTTATGCAGTATGAGGTTTAAGATTCAACTTATCAATGGTAGTAAATGTACACAAGTTTAGCACCTTTTGTAACCTTGTCGAGGTTTTGCAAACACTTCACAACAGTTAGTTTTTTATTCCCTATGTGATATTTTTCTTTTATCATACAATACACTCATTTATTTCACAGACCTTCTGTCAGATAAAGAATGGACTCTTCATACCTGAGTATGTGCTGACTGTACAGGTCTAAGGTCTAGTCCACACGTAGCTGGTTTTTTTTAAAAACGAATATCCGCCTCTCCAAAAACTTGCATCCACACCACCTCATTTTAAAAAAAACTCTGTCCACACGTACCCGGATAAATACGTTGTTAAGGACATGCCAGACCTGTAGGCGGCAGTACTTCCCCCGTTCTTAACCTCGTCCTTCGTCTGTGGTCTTCCGCAAGGAGCAGTAATTACGCTTGCAAAAACAAACAAGCAAAAAGCGCTTGGACAATTGATAAAGCGAGCGCAGCTCTGAGGGCATCCATGCTGTCGGCTAGTGTAAACACAGGTCGCACACGTGATGTCAGCATTTTTCTGTCGCGGAAAGTGACGTTGCGGACCTTAAAACTCTGGTTTTGTCTGTCCACACGCAGACACCCAAAACAGAGAAAACGCAGATCTTCACTTTGGCCGGAGTTTTTAAAAAGATCCGTTTTCGTGTGAAAAAACTCCGTTTTCGTGTGGATGACAGGCCAAAACGTAGAAAAATATCTACGTTTTGGCAGATCCCCGGCTTCGTGTGGACAGGGCCTAATACTCTCAGTCAGATTCACCATTTACACCTAATTTCCAGTTTTACTTCAACAGCTGGGAGAGTTCATAGAAGTAGTGCCAGTGTTACCAGTAGGGGTGTGCATTGGCAAGTATCTAGCGATCTAACGCTGACATGTCTCTACTTCTATATGAACTCTCTCAGCTATGACTTAGCCGTATCCATCTGTGTCGTGAGCTGTCCCTGATTTTTGATATATTTTAGTCGTAATGCTGGATTGTTGCTTCTTCCTGCAATCGGAGCAATTGATAGATGGTGACAAGGTGGCTGCTCAAGGAGACAGTCCAGGGCAGTGTCATCCTTTTACTTTATCCTCACATTGTCAAATGAAGTGTGTCGTTAGATATGTATGTGCACTGTGATGTTCGCACACACACACACACACACACACACACACACACACACACACACACACACACACACACACACACACACACACACACACACACACACACACACACACACACACACACACACACACACACACAACAAACAAACAAACACACACACACTACTATCTCAACAGTAGTAAGGATTATGTACTGTTGCTGAACTTAAGCTTGTCTGGGTTTTAGTCCTTGAGGTGACATTGTTTGTCTACGTGGGAAAGCCTGATCTCAGACCAGACAGAGTGCAACATTAATGAATGAAGGATATTCGAGGGTAAACATGAAGGAAAATCAATCTCTTCTTTCTCTTTAGACTCATTAAACATTATTAAGGTTTCCAACTTTTGCTTTGATTCCTTTAACGTCTGAGCAAAGATTTCGAAATACTCCAGAGAGTTATTTTAAACCTGATGAGTTCCCCTTCATCCATCTGGTACTCATCTTGACCTGTTTTTTCTTCCTTTAGTCTGAACCCATACAGCTACGATGAGAGCTGTGTATCCAGCAGTGTTGACCACCTGCCTTTGGCCGCCCTCCCGCTCCTCGCCATTGTGTCTCCACGCTACCAGGACGCTGTGGCAACTGTCATAGACCGGGCCAACCAGGTGTACCGCAGCTTCCTACGGTCGGAAGATGGCCAGGGATTCACGGGACAGGTCCGTTGTGTGTTCTATTTATAAAGGGGGGTGAACTTCATTGTGCTAACACGAGTAAATAATTTCCTTGGAGCAGGAAAATAAAATCCCTTATTAGTGGATTGTGTGCTCAATTGTGAGAGTGGAAGCTCAGCTTCTACCTTCATGATAACATTTAGTACACTAAGGCTCTTAAAGGTGTGGTTCACTGATAAAACATTTATTTATTAATATTTTGGTCATTGTTGTGGCTTTTTTGTTGGATAACGCGTGCCTTAAGTGCAGAATGAATACTGGGTTGAAATGTCCTTACAAATAAAAGGGCAGTCCAAAATACATGTTCGGATACGCTGATCCATTCATTAAAGTAAAAAGGCAGAGAAAATAAAACCAAAACTCAAAGAATATTGATGCCTACGCTATCCTGCACGGTCAAACCGTTTGTCTCTAAAGCCACACACCTGTCGCTTGATTAGGTCACCTTTAACCTCTAAGTAGAGCCACTCCCAGAGTGCCCTCCACAGTAATTGGCTCCAACATACGGGCCCCTGATTGTCCACGTCTACTCATGACAATTCCAAACAAATGAGGAGCCAATATTAATCTTGGTGCATATCCTTTTCAGATTCAAACAAAAAATACATCCAACTAAACAAAATAAAACAACAAAACCCCTTTTTATTTATATTTTACAAAAATGTTTTTAATGTTTACTGTTTCTTTGTAATCAATTTTTGGGTCGTTTTCCATCAACATGCATAATTTTGTTAGTGGTCGTTTGATTGTGCTAGTTTTTGTTTTGATTTCAACAGATCGAACCACTCCATTTTTGTCCGGGCATACGTACATTTGTTATTTTTCCAATCATCCATGAGTTGCGTGGGGCTGCAGAATCAGCAAGAATGATGTCTCCTTCTTTTAGACTTCTTTTTAACTGATTCCATTTTTGTCTTTCTTGAAAAGTTACCAGATATTCTCTTGACCATCTTTTCCAAAAAAGATCTGACATATATTGGGATTGTTTCCACCTTCGTCGAATGTATAAGTCATGTTGGTCAAAGACACCAGGAGGGAGAGTTGGCTTACGCTTATGGGTGAGCAGATGATTGGGAATCAATGGCTCCAAGTCATTCGGATCGTCTGACACCTTAGTCAAAGGTCTATCATTAAAAATGACTTCTGCTTCACACAACACTGTGTGCAATGCTTCATCAGTGCTTGTCGGCTGATTTAATACAGAACATAGCACTTTCCGAATCAGCCTGATCATACATTCCCAAGCACCCCCGTGGTGTGAAGCATAGGGTGGATTGAATGTCCATTTAATGTTATCAAACAAAAGAGTTTTCTCTATTTTGTTGTGGTTCAAATCTGTAACAATTTTTCTCAATTCCTTTTCAGCTGATGAGAAGTTTGTTCCATTGTCTGAGCGAAAGTGTGAGACTGGCCCTGCTTCTGCACATGCAACGGCAAATTGCACTGATACATGAGTCTGTATCTAACGAGTGTGCAACCTCAATGTGAACTGCTTAACTGACCATGCATGAGAATATGACTCCATAACGTTTTACACAAGCACAACCCCGTTTTACTTCAATGGGACCAAAGTAATCGACTCCAACATTTGTAAACGGAGGCAAGTCAGGAGTTATTCTTTCCTCTGGAAGATCAACCATTTTTTGTTGACATGTTTTACCTTTGAATTTTCTACAGAAGAGACATTGAGACATAATGTTTCTTGCGGCTGCATTGGCGTAAGTGATCCAGTACCTTTCTCTCAGCTTTGAAAGGACATGATTCCTTCCTGTATGGTTTGCACGTTTGTGAACATCCATGATTATACAACTTGGTACATGTTGATCTTTCGCCAACATTATTGGGTGTTTGCTTTCTTCGGGCATTGAACCCTTTAACAAATGACCCCCGACTCTTAACAACCATCTTGAAGAACCGGGTTGAGCTTGTAAATGTGACTGTTTCTCTTAACGCCTGTGTCATTAGACAGAGAACGCATTTCATTTGGAAATCTTTGTTCTTGTAAAAAATGTATAATGGCCCACTCAGCTTTATGTAAATCTTCAGTTGAGAGGTTGACATCTTTTTTCCTTTTGGCCCTTTGTAGTTCTTGCCCAACATGAGCTGGAGTGTAACTCTGTGAAAGAGTTTTTTGGATGTGACTTAGTTCAAAGAGAGTTTGCTTAACCTTTAACATCCAGGCAACAGCAACTTTAAGCTTGTTCCAATCTGAAAAGTGAGTGATCAATTTGTTGATTGGATCCATACCTGTTTGAGTTGAACAGATAAAAATGTCTTGCTTTATTTCAGGGTCATTGGTGTCAGAATCCTCCTCAAAGTTGAGTTGATTCTTCTGCCAAGTTTGTTGCACATCCCACAAGATATTAGGTCCCAATAACCATGTTTTAGTGTTCAATAGTTTGTTCATTGAAACACCTCTAGAAGTGATGTCGGCTGGATTTTCTTTGGTGGGAATGTAGTGCCACTGGTTTGGATTTGATGCTTGTCGGATCTTGGTGATTCTGTTTGCCACAAAAGTTCGAAATCTTTTATTTTCATGATTGATGTACTTGAGAACCGTGCAACTGTCTGACCAAAAGTAGGATTTTTTACATTGGAGTTGCAACTCCGTTTTTGTAAGACTGTCTATTTGTGTTGCGAGGACAGCCGCTTTAAGTTGTAGGCGAGGCATTGTGACTGGTTTTAACGGTGTCACTCTGGCTTTGCTAAGCAGAAAAGAAATATGTATTTGACCCGTTTGATTTTCCAGTCACAAATAGCTCACTGTGCCATATCCATTATTACTTGCATCTGCAAAATGGTGAAGTTGAGCTTTGGCAGGTGTTCCAAACTCTGCAGGCTTAATGCATCTTTCTGACTGAAATGCGGGCAAGTTTTTTAGTTCTGACAACCAGTCGACCCATTATTGTTTTATTGGCTGTGGAATCTCTTCATCCCAGCCATGTTGCCTTCGACATAACTCTTGCAAGAGAAGTTTAGCTTGGAGTACTGTTGGAGATAAATAGCCGAGAGAATCATAGATGGAAGCAATCACAGACAACATTCCACGGCGGGTATGGAGCTTTATTTGTTCATTCATTCAAAAGATGAAATGATCACTTTCCAAACACCACTGTAGTCCCAACTCCTTCTCAGTTGGAAGTTGGTCTTTGTCTAAATCAAGTACTTTGACATATTTGGAATGAACCTGTAAAGGTATTACTTGAAGTACTGTCCGATTATTGCTGGTCCACTGTGTGAGATGAAATCCACCTTGGTGACACAGTTCGCTCAGATCATGAGCGACTTCTATTGCCTTTTCAACCGAGGGCAAACTTTTCAAGCAGTCGTCAACGTAAAAGATTTTATTAACGGTTTGAACCACTTCACAGGAAAACTCATGACGACAATCTTTCGCCAGTCTTCCTTAAGGCAAAGCAGGAACAGCTTAGTGATGAGACCACTCCAAACAGGTGAACGGTCATTCTATATTCGGTAACTTCTTTATAGAAATCACCCTCCGGTCACCACAAGAACCTGAGAAAGTTCTTATGCTCCTCAGCAACTCTGACTTGGTAGAACATTGATTTGATGTCTGTCATGAATGCAAATGGTTCTTGTTTGAATCTTAGTAATACTCCAATCAATGAAGTGGTAAGATTTGGCCCTTGGAGAAGTTTGTCATTTAGAGACGTTCCTTTAAACTTGGCTCCACTATAATGAACCACACGTAGCTTGCCTTTACGCGGGTGATACACGCCATGATGTGCAATGTAATTGATATTTTCTGGAGAGCTTCTTAATTCATTTTCCGGTACTAGCTCTGCAAATCCATTGTTTAGTACTTCATTCATGAATGCAGTATATTCCTTGTAAAATACTTCATTTCTTTCTATTTTCCTTTTCAGACCACTCAGGTGCTGTTGAGCAACACATAGGTTGTTCGGAAGTTTGGCTCTTTGATTGGCAACAATAAACGACAGTGTCTGTTTTCAAATTTCACTGATTCATTCATAATCTGCAGAAATTTTTTGTCATCTTGGGAAAGTTCATCCTTGTCATCTTTGCTTAAATCTTTGAAGTTGTGTTCATATTGTTTTTCCAAGAGATTTTCTAATGCGAGTACCGAAGTGCAATTTACTGTTACAAATTGACTGCTAACCTCCAACTTGTCAGGACTCCCTCCCTCTGTGCCACTTACAACCCACCCCAATAGGGTTTTTGTGGCATAAGGTCCTTTTCCTTGGCTATTAACTACTTCCCACGGTCCATGCAGCTTTGCGGCATCTGCGCCTATCAGCAGATCCACTTCAGCATTGATTCCCATTAAGTCAACTTGTGACAGGTATGTCCATTGTTCAATGTCTTCCTTTGTGATTATGTTAGCTGTGCTTACAGGCATTTGTTTTGTGTATACACAACAGGCAAGCCATAAAACTCTGTTCCTTTAAGACTTGAGATCTCCAGATCGCTGAGAATGTATGTAGAGGTTGTTGCGGTTGGACTCATTAACAGGCGAATCTTGGATTTCTTTCCTGAGAGATTCAGGGTTTTCATTAAATTCTTAGTGCAGAATGTTGAAGTTGAACCATTGTCTAAAATGCATATGTTTGAACAAGTTCTTTGATTTGACTGTCACAGGGAGTATTGAGAGTTTCCCAATAATACCGGCCCCAGCATGGCTCACACATGACTGAGATGACAGAGTTGTGCTTCCAGTTGCGTTCGGCTGTACGATATTTGTGCTTATTGCTTTGTTGATCTTTGTTGTTGTGTGTAGAGCAGTAGGACGGTTTAGCTTACATTTGTTACAGGACATAGGTTTAGTACGTTGTTTGGAAAAATTACCCAGTTTCAGACATTTAAATCAAGCTTTCTTTTCTTTCAGAAAATTCAGTTTGTCGCGATGTTGTTTTTCGTTGAACCTTTGACAGCTGTTCAGTGTATGAGTTTGTGAACAAAACAGACATTTAAATGTTTTTCCATCATTTTTTATGATCCTTTCA